CGTTGCAACAAGGTGGAATTCAACCCTACATATGTTAGACCGCCTTTACGAACAGCGAAAGGCCATCACCGATTTCCTGATGTTACAAGCGGATAAAGGTACTCCCCTGTGTAACTTAGATGTCAGCCATTGGCAGCTCATGCGTGACACCTGCCGCTTGCTCAGGCCCTTTGAGGAGGCCACGCTATTCGTGAGTCGGCAGGACTATGGGATGAACGACGTCATTCCTCTGTTGCACGTCCTGGAACAAATGCTGTTAACAATGGCTGGTCAGGGTGCGGTAGACGTGGCGCACAGATCTCAACGCCACATGACCCCTGTGGGGGCAGGACAGGAAGAAGAGGAGGAGGTAGAGGAGGACATTGGTGCTCAGGAATTATTGAGTGAAATGGGTGGTTTTTCCACTCGGCGGACAGGAGTGGAGGAGCAGGAGCATCTGGTAGAGGAGGAGGAGGAGACAGAGGACCCAGACGCACCGTGGCAGTATGCTGTGGAGATGGAGGTAGGGAGTCCCTCGCATTCCTTGGCACAAATGGCCCATAGCATGCTCGGTTGCTTGCGTAGCGACAGCCGAATAATAACCATCAGACAGAGGGATGACTTTTGGCTGTCCACCTTGTTGGACCCTCGCTACTGTTCAAAAATGGTGGCCTTTTTCACACCTGCTGAGAGGGAGGCCAAAATAACGTACTATAAAAACCACCTATGTAGTCAGTTGGTCTCTGCCTTTCTGCGCCAACGTCCATCCTCAGACACTGTGGGCCCTGTGCGCTCGCGTTCCGCTGCTATGGCAGCAGGGGAGGGGTGGGGTGGTAGGAGCAGTGGCAGCTCCACCAGCAGCGGCTGCCTCAGTCTGCAGTCGATGATGAGTAGCTTTCTTCACCAGTGCAGTGAGGAAACTACTAACCAGCCGCAGCAGCAGCAGCATCAGGTACACCTGGAGCAGGACCTCAAACAACAGGCTTGGGCCTACTTGGACAGCACCCTGCCAACCGAGGTAGACAATCCCCTTGACTACTGGGCAACGAAACTTGACCTTTGGCCCCAACTAGCTGAATTTGCATTTGAAAGGCTGTCATGCCCGGCCAGTAGCGTGGCATCGGAGCGCGTGTTTAGTGCGGCAGGAGGTATTGTAACTCCGCGGAGGACACGACTGTCCACCCAAAGTGTGGAGAGACTCACGTTTGTGAAAATGAATCAGGCGTGGATTAGTCTGGATTTCAAACCACCAGTTCCTGACACAACTGACTAAATCCACCATGAATCATGCCCCAAACATGTTATTATTTTTAACATAGGCCTCTGTATGGCCTTCAATTTAAGCTGCTTACGCTTCGCCACCCTGCCATGGGCCCCTGTACCGCCTCCTCTTGCTGCTGCCAGGTCCAGAGTGTCTCATGGGTCCCTGTACGGCCTCCCATTGCTGCTGTCTCCATCGCCACACTCTGCCATGTGCCACTTTCAGGTCTCCTCACACTGCTGGTGGGTTCCATTTTGTCATAGGGTGCTGGCAGATTACGGGCCTCCCATTGCTGTTGCCAGGCCCGTAATCTGCCATGGGCCCCCGTACCGCCTCCTCATGCTGCTGCCAGGTCCAGAGTGTCTCATGGGTCCCTGTACGGCCTCCCATTGCTGCTGTCTCCATCGCCACACTCTGCCATGTGCCACTTTCAGGTCTCCTCACACTGCTGGTGGGTTCCATTTTGTCATAGGGTGCTGTATGGCCTCCCATTGCTGCTGCCTCCACCGCCACACTGTGGCTCCACACTCTGGTTTTGGCCCCGTGACTGCCCAAATGAGTGAAGTGTGCGGTGATTCTAAGATCGACGGCACTCATCTGCATGTCATACTGACTGACAGTATTATTTCTCTTCCCCAGCAGACTCCAAGGGCATTTAAATTAAAGGTACAGTGTTCTGCACTAATATAAAGTCTCTCTGAAGCCTAGAAACACCCTTTTTATAAGTTAAATTCGCAGCGAATATATTCGACTCGAATCAAATTTATTCCGCGAATTCGCCGAATCAGCCGAATCGAATTTTTGAATACTTCGCTCATCTCTAAAAATAACCCCATATATGACTATTACATAACAAAAATAAACTACATTCTCAGCCTCCCACCACCTGGTAGACATTAGGACACAGCCCTCTTTTCCTTGTTTTAAAGATAAACGGCAAAGTGATTGCTCTATTGCAATTCAGAAGGATGTGTGTTTCTTACCTGAATGCTTTGTTTGGTTTTATTTTAGAATATAGCCAAAGCATAATATTTTATATATAATTTATTAAATAAAAAACAGGTACAATCCCTGTTTGTTTGATGGGCATCTTGGGACTTAGGTGCCCATTTATACTCGATGTGGATCATATAAATTCTTGGACCCCTCTTTCTGTCATATACAGCATCAATTCTGTGTATGTATATATACATATATATGTATATATATATATATATATATATATATATATATATATATACACAGTGAGGAGTATTTGAACACCCTGCGATTTTGCAAGTTCTCCCACTTAGAAATCATGGAGGGGTCTGAAATTCACATTGTAGGTGCATTCCCACTCTGAGAGACAGAGTTTAAAATAAAAATTCAGGAAATCACATTGTATGATTTTCAAAGAATTTATTTGTCTTGCACTGCTGAACATAAATATTTGAACACCTGAGAAAATCAGTGTTAATATTTGGTACAGAAGCCTTTGTTTGCAATTACAGAGGTCAAACGTTTCCTGTAGTTCTTGACTAGGTTTGCACACACTGCAACAGGGATTTTGGCCCACTCCTCCACACAGATCTCCTCTAGATCTGTCAGGTTTCGGGGCTATCGCTTAGCAACACGGAGTTTCAGCTCCCTCCAAAGATGTTCTATTGGATTTAGGTCTGGAGACTGGCTAGGCCACTCCAGAACCTTGATATGCTTCTTACGGAGCCACTCCTTGGTTATCCTGGCTGTGTGCTTCGGGTCATTGTCATGTTGGAAGACCCAGCCACGACCCATCTTCAATGCTCTGACTGAGGGAAGGAGGTTATTGCTCAAAATCTCACAATAAATGGCCCCATTCATCCTCTCCTTAATACAGTGCAGTCATTCTGTCCCCTTCGCAGAAAAGCACCCCAAAGCATGATGTTACCACCCCCATGCTTCACAGTAGGGATGGTTTTCTTGGGATGCAACTCATCCTTCATTTTCCTCCAAAACGACAAGTGAAGTTTAGACCAAAAAGTTCTACTTTGGTCTCATCTGACCACATGACTTTCTCCCATGCCTCCTCTGGATTATCCAGATGGTCATTGGCAAACTTCAGACGGGCCTGGACATGTGATGACTTGAGCAGGGGAACCTTCCGTGCAATGCATGATTTGAAACCATAACGGCGTAGTGTTCTACCGACAGTGACCTTTGAAACTGTGGTCCCAGCTCTCTTCATGAAATTGACCAGCTCCTCCCTTGTAGTTCTTGGCTGCTTCCTTACCTTTCTTATCATCAGTGATACCCTACGAGGTGAGATCTTGCATGGAGCCCCAGTCCGAGGGAGAATGACAGTCGTCTTTAGCCTCTCTTTCCATTTTCTAACCATTTCTCCAACAGTTGATCTATTTTCATCAAGCTGCAAGGCAATTGCCCCGTAGCACTTTCCAGCCTTGTGGAGGTCCACAATTTTGTCTCTGGTGTCTTTTGACAGCTCTTTGGTGTTGCCCATGGTAGTAGTTGGCGTCTGACTGACTGTGGGGTGGTCAGGAGTCTTTAAAGAGCTCAAAGAGGTGCTACTAAGTTAGATTAATGGGTGGAGTAGAAGTGGACTTTTTAAAGACACAGTAACAAGTCTTTTAGAGCCAGAATTCTTGCTGTTTCTTAGGTGTTCAAATACTTATGTTCAGCGGCGCAAGACAAATAAGTTCTTTAAAAATCAAACAATGTGATTTCCTGAATTTCTTTTTTAAATTCTGTCAGAATGGGAATGCACCTACAATGTGAATTTCAGACCCCTCCATGATTTCTAAGTGGGAGAACTTGCAAAATCGCAGGGTGTTCAAATACTTCTGTTCCTCACTATATATATATACAGTATATATATAACCTTAAAGTGTTACTAAACCCACAACAGTAAAATCAGTCTGTATATACAGTAAAGCATGCTTGTTATACTCACTGTGGAACCTAAGGAGTTAATCCTATACATTGTGTAAAAAGGCTGTTTGATCCTGACTTCTCTGCCCCTCTTCTTGTTCAAATGTCCATGCTGATAAGACAGACTGAACCCGCAGCCCTTCTGCACATGCTTAGTTTGCTGATTATTCCTAAAGAGGTTTTTTTTCTTGGGAGGGTGCATGTGATCAGCACAGGGCCAATCAGCACTGTCCAGACAGAGGTCAGGGGTTCTGCATCCTTTTGAGCAGAAAGAAAACTCCTCCTACAAGCTTTAAACAGCTGAAGTCACAAGACTGCTATATACTACTGATGAGAAAAGGTATTTAGCAGTTTATATTTACTAAAATAATTGCGCTTTCATGTTCTGTGTACTGTAGGAGACCAGATATAGTGAATGCATGGTCCTGGGTTTAGTAACACTTTAACTCAACAACAATATCCCTTCCATTCAGCAGCAACTGATTAACAAGCTTGCATTCACAATGCATAACAACTCTAGGAAATTGGACAGTGGACCCTGTACCGTATGCAAGGACTTTTGACTGACCAGAATTTAGCTTACAATGTTCAATATGAGTAATTGTCAAAATCAATTCTCATTCCCACTCTTCCCCCTTACACACACACACACACACACACACTTTAGGTAACCATTTTCTAAGCAGTACCTCTTTAACCGCCTCCCACTCACCATATAGTAAAATGACGGACGCAAGGTGGTTCTCTCGTTCTGGGTGGACGTCATATGACGTCCTCCCATTCTAACCACGCATGCGCAGCTCCCGAAGCACGCAGCATGGCGATCGGTGTTGCTCTGTGTCCCTCGGACACAGCGGATCACCGATCCACGGAAGGAGCCGAAGATGTCGGTTCGGTCATGTGATCAGCTGTATCCAATCACAGCTGATCACATGTAAACAGGGAAATGCCAATTATCAGCATTTCTCTCCCCCATGAGCTGTCACGCTGACAGTTCGAGAGGAGAGGAGAGCCTGTAATTGGCATTCCTTGGAGGGGACATGTACACAGATCATCAGGGCACTGATGATCAGTATGCCTTGATGATCTGTGTAGCCTCAGCAGCGCCACCTTCTCAGTGTCCATCAGTGCCAGCTCTCAGTGCTCATCCATGCCACCTGCCAGTGCCCATCAGTACCACATCAGTGCCACATTTCAGTGCTCATCAGTGCCACATCAATGCCACATATCAGTGCCCATCTGAGCTGCCTTTCAGTGTCACCCATCAGTGCCAGTCAGTGCCACCTATCAATGCCAGTCAGTGCCACCTATCAGTGCCATTCAGTGCCGCCTATCAGTGCCAGTCAGTGCCGCCTATCAGTGTGCATCAGTGCCACCTATCAGTGCCCGTCAGTGCTGCCTAACAGTGCCAGCCAGTGCCACCTAACAGTGCCAGTCAGTGCCGCCTATCAGTGCCACTTATCAGTGCCATATATGAGTGCTGCTTTTCAGTGCCCATCAGTGATGCCTGTCAATGCCCATCAGTGCAACCTACCAGTGCCTCCTCATCAGTGCCCATCAGTGCCACCTATCAATGTCCATCAGTGCAGCATATCAGTGCCCATCAGTGCAGCCTCATTAGCGCACATCAGTGAAGGAGAAAAACCACTTATTTACAAAATTTTATAACAAAAACTAAGAAAAAACTTTTTTTTTTCAAAATTTTCAGTGGTTTTTGGTTTGTTTTTAAAAAAAAAAAAAAATAAAAAACCCAGAGGTGATTAAATACCACCAAAATAAAGCTCTGTCACAAACAAATGATAAAGATTTCATATGGGTACAATGTTGCATGACCGCGCAATTGTCATTCAAAGTGCAACAGCGCTGAAAGCTAGAAATTGGCCTGGGCAGGAAGGGGGTATAAGTGCCCTGTAGGCTAGTGGTTAAAGAAAGAAATGTTAAATATTACCTACATACTTACATATTACGTTCAACATCCAAAAGCCAGAAAATTAAAACATTAAAGCAGTATTAAACCAAAAACTTAATATTTTGCAGCTTAGCAGTAAATACTTCTGCCAGTGTTAAATGGTAATTGTAAGAGAGCTTTACTGTTGAAAATCAACAGACTTACTGGCTGGATCTCCAGATGAAAAAAGAAGTCTAAAAAAGTAAACTAATGTAGCCATCACATCTAAGAATTGGCAAGCTGCAACATACTGTAATTTTCATTTATGTATTGCATTTATTTGATTGTGATTATGAATCGCCTTTGGCTTCAGGCAATGTTCAAAGTGACAAAACATTTCTTTTCTATCCAATTCAACAATTTGGAAAATTGATTTAGTTGAGTTCACCTGTTCAGATAACAAAATGTTTTTTTTAGCATGACCTATGTGTGAAAATAACATGACATTGCTGATTCGTTTAAAAAAATATATTACCTGATCCAAGTGACAAAACCTTTACCTTAAAGATAAATGTAGTGCTGTCGATATTAGTATTCATGGAAATTCTGCACAATAAATTACTGTGTACCCCTCAGGCGTGTAGCATGAACAGATGGCACCGAATCTGTATAATTCAGAAGTACAGTTTCAAGGAAGGCCATATGGAAAATATGAAAATGTTATGGATTGTAAAATAAAAAATTAGCTTTGCATAATAAATCTTCAATTACTTCCTCAAACTATAATTATTGCAAACAGTACTTTTGGCAATATTAATTTGAACAATACTGCATATGCATAAAGATTTTGATAGTTGCATTGTACAAAGACTGAGATTCCAGTATGACAGTGCTAAATTTTGATTAAGACCCACTGTTGTTCAACATAGACTTTCAGACACCATTTTCTTTCATCTCCCAGTCCGTAAGGAGATTAGATAGATAGATAGATAGATAGATAGATAGATAGATAGATAGATAGATAGATAGATAGATAGATAGATAGACAGCTCATCCATGACACAGGCTTTGGAGCACACAATAGGTTTTCTTAAGAGAGAGCACAGTAGAAACTCTCCTTTCAGGTCTCAATAACTGAAACTGTAGAGAGCTGTACATAGCGAGAAAAAGAGGTGAGGGGAGTCTTTTGATTCATGCAGCTGAATGTTTGAGCTTCAAGTAGCCAACTCTTTGAATAGCAGGCATTTTTCAGCAAATCAAGTATGGTTAGCCTGGTGAACATGAGCCTACATTTTTATCTGTTGGCTGGAAACAGTCAATAAAAAAATAAGTATTTTTACTTATTTAAAGATGAAATAAATAAATGTTTATTTTTTCAGACAGTAACATAATACATACATCTAAAAATATAGCAGGTAACTTACTGAAGCTGCATGGTGCAAAATCTGATGCAGTCGTGCATAGAAACCAATCAACGTCCAGGCTTCATTGTCAAAGCTTAATTGAACAAGCTGAGGTTAGAAGCTGATTGGTTACTATGCATAGCTGCACCCATATTCTGAGTGCTTTAGTGTTAGTAAATTTTCCCCATAGTCTTTTTGCCTTGTTTTTTAGGCTGCATTCACACTTAAGCATTTTGTAGCTTGAAGGTCCAAAAACGCTCAAACTTAAAAAATCAATTGTTCAAGTGTGAATGCAGCCTAAGAGTGCATGCTCTGAGACTTCCATCTTTATATATTCTTCACTTCATGGTCAATAAATGAACTGAAAAGTATATGAATAACAGATGTCAAGATACTGATATAAACATTATTTTAAGTGACTCACTAAGTAGTAAATAAGGTTGCCAACCACAAAATAAGTATCTTCAAGAAGAAGTAAGCAATGGTAGACAGGAAAGGTTTCCTTTAAACAGCTCATCAGTTTCTATTGCAGTTTACTAGAAGGACAAAAAAATGACATTGCTTTTAATTTTACATTTGTTGTAAGGATGTTGGCAACAGCTTAAAGTGGAGTTCCATCCAAAAGGGGAAGTTCGGCTTTAAAGATTGGTCCCCCACTCCCCATTAAGGATTGGCACCTTTGGGGAAGGGGGGGGATGGGTACCCGAATTTGACAGGTACCCACTCCCACTTCCGCTGCAATCACCTAAGAGATCGGAAACGGAAGTTGTCCTCCTACCCTCCCTCCCCGAAGTCTTGTGGGACATGTGACAGGTCCCAGAAGATGACGGGGCCATTCAGGAAGCGCAGCACTACTCACGCATGTGCAGTGGGCACCCAGTTGTGAAGCCACAAGCTGTCACAGCTGGGGGCCCACACTGAATACAGGACAGCCGGTGGCAACACGGGATCATGAGACAGGTGAGTGTCTGTTTTTTAAAAGTCAGCAGCTACAGTTTTTGTAGCTGCTGACTTTTATTTTTTTACAGAGTGAGTGGAACATCGCTTTAAGTGTTTCAGCAGCTGCTGAAGATATTTTTGTGGCAAACAACCATTCACTGCATTTAAAGTGGAACTTTACCCACAATAACTTGAAAAAAAATAATGTTCTTTTTATTATTATTATTATACAGGATTTATATAGCGCCAACAGTTTGCTCAGCGCTTTATAATATAACGGGAGGCAATACAACAACAATACAGTTCAATACAAGAGGGATAGAAGAGGCCTGCTCCTTGGAGCTTACAACCTAGGAGGGAGGGGCTAGTGGTACAAAAGGTAGTAACTGTGGGGGATGGACTGGTTGGAAGAGTAGAAGATTCCATTATTAGCTGAGGGCAGGATAGGCTTCCCTGAAGAGATCGCCTAAAAGTGAGCAGAGTAGGCGATAGTCTGAGGAGAAGTCCTGGAGGTGAGCATGGGAGGAGGAGACAAGGGAGCTAGAGAGTAGGAGGTCTTGCGAGGAGCGGAGAGTACGGTTTAGGTGATATTTAGAGACAAGATCGGTGATGTAATTTGGGGCAGAGTTATAAATGGCTTTATACGTTATTGTTAATGTTTTGAATTTTATCCGTTGGGCAATGGGAAGCCAGTGGAGGAATTGGCAGAGAGGGGTGGTAGATACAGAACGATTAGTAAGGTGGATGAGTCTGGCAGCAGCATTCATGATAGACTGAAGAGGGGATAGCCTGCGATTAGGTAGGCCAATGAGGAGGGAGTTACAATAGTCAAGGCGAGATATAACAAGGGAGTGAATAAGTTGCTTAGTGGTTTCCGAGGTTAGGAACGGGCATATCTTGGAGATGCTGCGTAGGTGAAGTCTACAAGATTCGGACAGTGAATGGATTTGGGACTGAAAGGACAGATGGGAGTCTAGGATTACACCTAGCACCCTGGCATGAGGGGAGGGACTGATTGTATTATTGATCTTGATGGAGAAGTCAGAGGAGGGGGCACGGGCTGGAGGGAATACTAAGAGCTCAGTTTTGGAAAGATTGAGTTTGAGGAAGTGGAGTGACATCCATGCCGATATGTCACTTAGTAGGTTAGTAATGCGAGAGGAGACTGAAGGGGTGAGGTGAGGGGTAGAAAGATAGATTTGTGTGTCATCGCATAGAGATGGTACTTAAAGCCATGGGAGTTTATCAAGTGACCAAGGGAAGAGGTGTAGATGGAGAAGAGAAGGGGTCCAAGGACAGAACCTTGAAGGACCCCTACAGAAAGAGGGAGTGAAGAGGAGGAGGCAGAGTTATAGGTAATGCTGAAGGAGCGTTGCGATAGGTAGGAGGAGAACCAGGAGAGAGCAGAGTCTCTGAGGCCAAGAGAGTGGAGTTTTTTGAGGAGGAGGGGATGGTCAACCGTATCAAAAGCCACAGAGAGGTCAAGAAGTAAGAGTATGGAGTAGTGGCCATTGGTTTTACCTGTTAGTAGATCATTAGTGAGTTTTAGTAGGGCAGTTTCAGTGGAGTGTAGTGAGCGAAAGCCAGACTGTAAAGGGTCCAGAAGGTTGTTGTCAGTGAGGTAGGAGCTCAGGTGATTGTAGACTAAGCTTTCTAGGAGTTTAGAGGTAAATGGCAGCAGGGAGATGGGTCTTAAGTTGTTCAGGTTGGGGGGTCCAGAAAGGGCTCTTTAAGTATGTGTCAAGGTCCTACCTTTCCTCAGACCTTGTGCTGCTCTGTGTGCTGGCATCCATCTTAGGTGTCTGCAAAGCATTGTGGGATCCTTTATGCTTTCAGCCCCTCTGCGGCTCCTCCCCCAGGAGGTGGCAGCTTATCACATATAAGTCTGCTGTTTGTGGCTGTCCATTGCATTCGTGTCCTGTCTGTTGCACAACAGCAAGCTCCTGTTTAGCTACTCATTGCTTTCCTGGATACCGACTCGGCTTTGGCTAAGACTCCTCCTGGCTTCTGACCCCGGCTCTGGCGACCATTCTTCCTGGCTCCTGATCCCGGCTCTGGCGACCATTCTTCCTGGCTCCTGATCCCGGCTCTGGCGACCATTCTTCCTGGCTCCTGATCCCGGCTCTGGCGACCATTCTTCCTGGCTCTTGACCCTGGCTTTGGCTACGATTTCCGCTGTTGGACTTGCATAGACTCTTGTCTTATTTTTATATTATTAATAAACCTACCTTTAATTGCACCTCCTTGTGTGTCTGGCTCCTCGCTGCCTGACAGTATGGGAGTGATGTGTGCATGCTTTAGAGGGGAGGGGAAGGCACAAGTAGAGAGGGAAAGATTGAAGATGTGAGTGAGGGAGCATAGGATGGAAGAAGAGGGTGACCATAGTAGTTGTGAGGGGACAAGATCCAGGGGGCAGGTAGTGAGACGGGCTTCTGAGAAAACCTTAGTGATCTCTTTGGTAGTAGCAAGGTCAAAAGAGGAAAGTGTTGAGGGAGATTTAGTATAAG